AAGGAGGAGTATCCCTCTTTCTCATCTATTTTCTTTACTATGATTTTTCTGTTTGGGGTTTTGTCAAGCTTATTGTTGTCAGCTCGTGGACTTTGTTGCTGTTGGATTTTTTTTTGCAGTCACTTTATTGTTTAACATATCGAGGCTCCTTGGTTAGGGCAACTTGAAAGATGAAACTATTGAGATGTCATTTGCAGGTTGGAGACAATGTCGGCGATTGTGCTGCTCGTGGTGCAGATCTATTCGAAAGTATAGCTGCTGAGATCATAAGTGCCATGATATTGGGTGGAACAATGGCACAGCGTTGTAAAATTGAAGGTAAGTGTACCTGTAGGTTGCGTCACTCCCAATACTTATAGACATACTCACATACATAAATTCATAGCTGTATATATATTTTATATTATTTGCTATTTGAAATCAAACTTTCACCACTTTCTCTCTTATTTCAGAGCTACTTTTAGGCTACTTTTGGAGCTTCTTAATGACAAAATTGCCTCATTAAGTTCTTTTTTATATTTGCAGTTTCTTGCATCTTATAGACTGACTAGCTGCCCTTTTTCTGGTGACAGATCCAACTGGCTTTATCTTGTTCCCTTTGGTGGTTCATTCCTTTGACCTTGTCGTATCTACTGTGGGTATCTTTTCAATAAGAGGCACACGAGAGGCTGGCTTAGCTGCAGAAGATCCAATGAGAATACTTGAGAAAGGATATTCTGTTACAATAGTATTAGCGGTTTTGACCTTTGTTGCGGTAAGATCAATCTTCAATTTCTCCACCAATCCATCCATTTACTCCAGCATTGTATTTTGTTTTCTTTGGGCATAGTTTTCGATTGAGCTTTAGCTACTTACTTCCCTTAGGAAAGAGAGGGGGGGGGGGAAGAAAGGTGCTTTTTGGTTTTGATAATTATGTTCCCCAAACAATAACTTTGTATGCCTTTGTTTATCTGCAGTCAACGCGCTGGTTGCTATACACAGAGCAGGCACCTTCAGCTTGGTTAAATTTTGCATTGTGTGGGCTGGTCGGAATCATAACAGCATATGTATTTGTATGGATCACCAAGTACTACACTGATTATAAGTATGAGCCAGTACGTACATTGGCTCTTGCAAGCTCATCAGGCCATGGGACTAATATAATTGCTGGTGTCAGTTTGGGACTGGAGTCAACTGCACTCCCTGTTCTTGTTATCAGTGTAGCTATTATTTCTTCTTTCTGGTTGGGTCATACTTCTGGATTGATGGATGAAGCTGGAAACCCTACCGGTGGATTGTTTGGAACAGCAGTGGCTACAATGGGTATGCTCAGTACAGCAGCTTATGTCCTGACCATGGATATGTTTGGGCCAATAGCTGACAATGCTGGTGGAATTGTGGAGATGAGCCAACAGGTATCAATGTATTTTTGAGTCTAGATGATTTTATATGCAGTATCAGCTCATGCTAACTGATTATCATATGCTTCTCTCTAGCCTGAAAGTGTTCGAGAAATTACTGATGTCCTTGACGCAGTTGGCAACACCACCAAAGCTACCACTAAAGGTTTTGCTATTGGATCTGCTGCACTTGCATCTTTTCTTCTTTTCAGTGCTTACATGGATGAGGTGTCTTCTTTTGCTCGTGTACCGTTTAAAGAGGTTGGTATTAAGTTGCACCTTGGCTTGTTTGCTTATGTACCTGTAGTGTTTTGATCTTCCTAAATTTATAATTTTTCTATGTTTCAGGTTGACATTGCAGTCCCTGAAATTTTTGTTGGTGGCTTGCTAGGCTCTATGCTTATTTTTCTCTTCAGTGCTTGGGCATGTTCAGCAGTTGGTCGTACTGCTCAGGAGGTGGTAAATGAAGTTAGAAGACAATTTATTGAAAGGCCTGGAATCATGGTAAGTATTTATCTCATCATGTTTGTAGTCTGATTGATGATGTGTCTGGTACCGGTTAATGATTGTCATTCAACTTCAGGATTACCAAGAAAAGCCTGATTATGGTCGATGTGTGGCAATTGTAGCGTCAGCCTCATTGAAGGAAATGATCAAACCTGGTGCTTTGGCTATTATATCACCAATAGTGGTTGGTAAGTTTTTTGTTCTTGTTTTCTGGTATTATTTGTCTACAGAAGAAACTCTTATGTTATAGATTGTTATATTTCTTTCTGGAAAGCTTTGAATATTAGATACTTAATTTGCCAGTTTGCCTGATCATTATTGACATAAGTTTGTTTGTTACAGGTGTTGTTTTTCGTATACTAGGACATTATGTTGGACACCCATTACTTGGTGCTAAGGTTGTGGCTGCAATGTTGATGTTTGCCACAGTTTCTGGCATCCTTATGGCTCTTTTCTTGAATACTGCTGGTGGTGCCTGGGATAATGCAAAGAAGTATATAGAGACTGGGGCTCTTGGAGGCAAAGGAAGTGACTGTCACAAAGCGGCCATTACTGGAGACACGTAAGTTATAATAAATTTTTAATCTCCTTTACAAAGATATCTAAGCTTTTGCAGTTATTTTTTTTACTGATAAATGAGATTTGCTGGTTGGTGTGTTCTGTTCTGTCATTACCCTGTCCCTGTACATGGCAATGATGGCATGCTTATGCTTGCATGCACTTTTCATCAATTGTAGGTTTAATCAACCTTGTATTCTTAATATACTTTCAGTGATCATTATTCTGTGGTTATCAATTTATATGAATGCACACCCTATAAGCCTGCTTAGTATAGCCAGAACAACCTAAATGGGACAGTTATGTTGAATTGTAACAACCTATTGATGTATTGTATGTTTATTGGAGTGGATAGTGAGAAGTATAAACTTCAACTTGCTGTTTATTGAGGATCAGCCAAAGAAAGAGAATGCTAGTTAATGTGTATTAATCTTCAATCTTAATCCTTGTGCGATGGATCAAGTCAGTGTGTTGATCACAACTTTATTCTGTGATCAATTAAATTTCAATGAATCAATTCATTATGTTGTCCACAATTCTCGTCAAATGACAACATAGAAGTCTTAGATGAAAATACAATCGGTAAATCACTGCTTAGCCACAGCCCTTGGCATGATGGCCTGCATCCTCAAAGTGAGGTCATGGCCGCAAAGTTTGGTAGACTGGTAGTAGTGTTGCTGTGTTGGTGGAGGTGGCTGTGGAAGTGGGTATGGGGACAGATGTGGACAATGGATCTAAGTTGTTGGTACTAGAGGAGTACTGGCAGCAGTTAAATTGATGCTGGGTGGTGGTCAAGATGGTGGTGGTGTTAACAAAAAATGTAAGTGTGATATTGAGTTGTGGAGTTATGGCTATGGGAAGTTACCTGTTACTTCCTTCTTCACTCTATGAGAGCAAGTGAGCAACCATTTGGAGTGATAAATATGTCGCTAGCCACTGTAGTTGCTGGCTGTAGGGGCGAGCTCAATTGAAGTGCTAGCTTTTGTTTCAGCTTCATTATATTTTTTTTAATCGTTATAAGTCTAAGCCCTGTTCTCTTCACCTTAAAAAAATAATATTAAGTAAAATAATTTCATTTCAGTAAAAATAAGTTCAGTTAAGTAAAATTAATTTAAGTTGAGTAAAAATAATTTCAGTTCAGTAAAAATAAGTTCAGTTCAGTAAAATTCAGTTTTCTTAAAGAATAATTATAATAGAAAATCAGTAAAAATAATTTAAGTTCAGTAAAATAATTTAAGTTCAGTAAAAATAATTTCAGTTCAGTAAAATTAAGTTCAGTTCAGTAAAAATAATTTCAGTTCAGCAAAATTAAGGTGAATCAAACAGGGCCTAAGTCTTTAAAGACTCATGATCAATATTCTGTAGCAGGACTGACTAAGGTCAAACATTTGTCTTGATTGCTCAATATGTTTTTAGATTATCTATATGTGCTCGAATTTTAGTCAGTACAATGTCTTCTTTTGCTGCTGAACTCATGGAAGTTTAAATTTTGATTTTAATTGCAGTGTCGGAGACCCTTTTAAAGACACGGCTGGACCTTCAATTCACGTTCTGATAAAAATGCTTGCGACAATTACTCTGGTTATGGCGCCTGTATTCCTGTAACTTTGTTGATACGAAAGTGCAGATTTAACTGAGCAGCACCCCTTTCTCGTCCCCCTTCAATGTGGATAAGAGGGTGCCCAAATGATTTGTGGAGTTACTTAGTCACAGAGGAATTCTTTTTGTTTTTCCTAATTTTGAATAAATCTCTCTTTAGGCAGAATCTCGAATATCCTCTTGTATTGGTACTTTTCTGTATATGACAATATAAATATTAACAGTTGGCCTGAGGACAATGGTGAAAGATTTAAATGGAGAGGTTTGTTACCCCAAATGAAATTTGTCCACAAACCTTGTTTTCGAGCTGCACTTGAATATTAGCAATAGCAAAGGGGTTAGTATATAACGGAGTATTCATTTACTAATTACACATTTAAAAATGTCTGGGAGTCGAATGAAATACTTAAACTGGGGTACATGGGAATTTTTTATTTTTATTTTTATTATTTTTATGTTGGAATGTGGATTTGATTACATTTTTTCGTCAAATTTAAAAGTTCTGATGATGAATAATACTTGTGTGATAAAGGCATGTAAGATCTTGTTGAATTCATTTTTAGTGTAATATCGCAATGTTTTATTATTAACTTTTCATTATTCTTATACAGAACTGGATTAATGATTAAGGTGCACCTTGTAATGGAATAGTAAGCTCATTCCAATCTAAAATACCCTCCCCGTCCCAGAATATCAGACTTAGGGCCATTTTTGGTAAGCACAAAATATTTTTTTTTTGACAGTATATGTCATTATATCCTGCCCTTTTTTTTTTTTTTTTTTTTTTTTACAAAGTATATAATACCTCCGTTACACATTATTACGATTAGACATTTTTTCTCTCTACTTTATATCAAATCGTTGCAAATAATATGTAACGGAGGTAGGACTTGTTTTCTTACGTTGAAATTCACTTTCAGTTCAGCTCAGTTCAGTTCAACTCCTAAATCCTTCTCTTATAAAATATTCAGTTCACCTCAGCTGAGTTCAGTCAATGAGAACAGACCCTATGGTGCTTTATTATTGCTCTTAAAACTTCCAAATAAATAAAAATCTTATCTCAAAACACCCATTTACTTTCTCCCCTCTTCCCAATTCCCAAAACCCCTTATTCAATCCAATTTAGGGTTTATCTCTCTTCCATTCCCAACAATGGAGCAACCCCAAATCCCCAATTCCTCAACCTCATCTCCGCCACAACAACCACCATCAACCACCAAAGACTCCGCCACAAACTCCGGCAAAAAACAAAAGCTAAAACTCCCAACCCCACAAGAGCTAATAACCCATTACGAATCCCAAGGAATGAATTCCAATGAAGCCTCCATTAAAGTAATCGACGACCTTCAACAGATGCTTTTTAGGGTTGTTACTTCTGGAAGAGGGAAGAAAGATAAGTTCATGGCGGAAGCTTCTAGAAAGCTTGATACGGCTAATACTCGTCTTGCTATTATTGAAATGAAGCTTGATTCTAAACCTGGATACCCTGAAAGTGTCGCCATTGGTGTTACTTCTGCTGTTGTCTTTCGCGGTGTCGCCGCTGTTTGGCCTCAGCTTGTTTCTGCTGCTTCTAGTCTTTGGAATTCTGTTAGAGGCTCTACTAATACCTAGGGGGTTATGTTTTTTTTAATAATGGGCGGTGATGTAGACGGGATTTGATTTGAGGTACGACTTTTATTGAACTAAGCTAGTTGACGTCCACGAATAAGTGGGTTATATAATTGTAGTGGCTGTAGTTTTTGATTCTGTAGAGCATTGAGGAATGAGAATTATTGAATTTTGAAGTGGTCATTTTTTCTGTATTGTTTAGGTGAATTTTTTTTGCTGACTTAACTTGGTTATTGTATAATAATTCAAGCTATATGCACACAGCACACCATCAATTGAAATATAGCTACTTTACTATTATGTCACTCAAATAGCATGTCATGGTATAATAATTTTATATGATTTTGGTCCAAAATGGAGCTTTTTTGTCATTTCTGTGATTGAGTTTAGACTATTCGACAAGTTGAGTTGAAATGAAGAGTCCGAGTAAAATAGTTTTTGGGTTGATATTTAGGGAGTTAGGATACAATCCTACATACATATTAGGCACTATCTCTTAAAAGTTTGTTGATTTAACACTGATTGCTTGATTGCCATATGCAAATTGTTGACCCCCAAGGACTGAATCATGTATCGATTATTAGCAAAATAACTGCTTAATTTGGGTTTAAGCAAAGCTAGGTACCAGCATCAAGCCATCAATTCTATTGTACATCTAAGTAGCGCGCTTATGTGCCTGTATGTTGCCACACATTGGCACGCGAATGACATGCACTACGCCTAGGTTTATTATAGGCGCGCTGAAACCTGGTGCTTATTTGAGGAATATGTAGAAGGAATACGACCTTAAGATTATGACAGGCCAACTTCTGCAAGTCCCATTGGATATAATGGTGCCTTTGGAAGTTGATTAGCTAGTTTTTGGAGTGGTTGGTGAGAGTGTAAGAAGTTTATAGTATGTGCTGATAAAAAAAAGTGTCTAATCTGATTCATTCAACAGTTAAAACAGGACTACAGACATTCATTTTGTTGATGATGATCCATGATTTAGCATGGACGTCACATATAATGGCCAAGATCATTAAGTGTACCCTAGTATAGCAAAGCAAAAACATATAGGAGCTAGCAAACATTAAAACGATTTTCGTATTTTCTGCAATTAGAGATAGTGCCTTTGGAAGCTGATTACTGCCCACACCAAATTGCCTAACCCAAGCTCTGGCCACAGAGCAGAAGGACTATACAGGAGGCATCTATCGGTCTGCCAAAGAAGGAAGTTGCTGAGTCTTGTCTCTCCTGAACTTCGAACCAAAATGTCTGGCATCGGTCCTACTGCCATGTACATTTGTTTTTCTAGTTCTGCTAACTCGATTTTGAAAGTAGCAAGGTTGTTTTCCTGTTTTCTAATCGTAACATTGTAAGGAATAGATTCTTCTACAGCATGAGCAATTTCGTCTGTTGAAGTATAAGCCACACATACTAGCAGGTATGTTGTTGTATTATTGGCTGTTACTTCCATCGCCTTGTTGGTTGCAACCTGAAGGTCTTCACTTAGCTCCTCCAATTTCCCTACAAAGTATATTCTAACACCATACCTTTTGATAAAACCATCATCCTCAAGAAATGTATCGATTTTTTCTCTCATCCAATTCATCAACCTCTCAATTTCTTCAGGCTTTCTCCTGAAATTGTGTAGGCTGAAGGCGTAGATTGTTATGTATTTTACACCAAGCTCATAGCAATGCTTGATAACTGACATGAGGGCTATGAATCCTGGCCTATGACTATCCTCTGGGTCAATGTTGTTCATCTTTGCATACCTTCGATTTCCATCCATGATAAAGGCGACATGTTCTGGGATGGGACCAACTGATAGAACCTTGTAAGTGCAATTAAGGAAAAAGTTGTAGGATTTCCTCAACAACTGTTTTGCATCACCTTGTTCGTTACCCTCCGCCATTAAAACTCTAGGCACCTTCGCACCATGAACTAGTGCCGAAACAAATGATTTTAAACTAGTAAGCATGACCTGAACATGTAATATAAATTCACATCTGCTTGAAATCATGATAAACTGAATCCCAGTTAAATAGTCAGAAAAGGGAGAGACCTAAAGTGTGTTCCCAAAAGTAGCAGATTCATAGGAAATTTTGCGATGGAATGGCGCACTTAATCTTGCATGCATTTTTCATGATTCATTTACAGTTTACATATTATTCAAAGATAGTTCCTATCTTAGCTTTTGACCACGATTTCTTGCATGTAAATATTGTTAAATGTTGCAAATTTCCCACAAAGTGTAACACTTCTAATTTTCTAGCAATTATTAATTAAGAACTGAAAGGGAAATAAATACAAATATGAGTAGAAGCTTAAAACCTAATTGGAGGTTTTATTTAAATACACTCGTATCACTTGATACATGGTAAAATGATACTAGTATACCTAACACTTTAACAAAATCCCAAATTACTACACATAAAAATAAAATGATCTAATTACAACATAACATACTCGTAATCGATTGTCCGACACAATTGAAAGATAAAACCACAAATTTAGTGGAAAATTGTAAGCCAATTTGTTGGTTTAATCTCATTTGCACAATATATTTACTATGATTCTTTTTTAATGTTACTCTCTATTTTTCCGATAATCCTTTAAAAATATCGTATCAACTCTAGTTGCACATTATTTATATGTTTTCAAATAAAATCACACAAAACACAATGACACACACATAAAGTGTTACGGAATACATATAATTGACATGACCTAACTAAATTTGACCCAATAACCTTATTCGTTGCCTAACTCAAAGCTTGACCCAACTCATCTAGACACAATCGAGCTCGACTCAATAACAACCCAAATTGACACCTCTACTTTTTAAGTAAGTGGCTTTAGGCATAGCTCGTAACTGGGAATCCTGCGATACATAGGGAGACGGAAAGAGAGAGCAAAAGGGGTAAAAATGGCATTGACAAATTTCATATTGACGGTGGCCGGAGTAAGCGCCGCCATACTCATCCTCCGCAGCGACGTCAGAAATTCCTCCGCCATCTTCCGCCGCAACATCCGCCAGATTCGTAATTGGATTGAAGAAGAATCTCTCTCCTCTTCCTCCAAGTATCTCCCTTCTTCCCTCTTTTATCAATTTCTTAATTTATGAATTATTTTGCTTGATTGATCCTAAATAGAACAAGTTATGATTTTGATTTGCTTCAATACTGTTAATGTAGCTCTGTTTATAGTATTGTTAAAATTTTGCTCTGAATTTCATGTTGTGTTGTACTGTTAGTAGTATAACTGATGGATGATTGTGTGTTTGTCCATCTGTTTAATTAAATTAAATATTGTTAGAAAATAATGTTGTAACGTAGGGGTAAGGTTGCGTACATCTAATCCTCGTGTTACAGGAGCAACAGGCCAACTCGTAGTGGATCATTTTATATTTAGGCTTGGTTTATTTTATGAACAAGGTCTACTTGCTTGAACGTCTTAATCCCATTACTGCCATTAGTGGGGTTGGCTACATGAACCATCACGAAGACTTTCTTAGGAGGTCACCCATTTTAGTACTACTCTCAATTACTGTGGCTCATAGGGATGTGACAAATTATTTTATGAACAAGGTCTATGCCAATACAATCACATTACAAAAGGCCTCTAAGAAGGCTTTTGTCCATTTTGAGGGTAAGGCGAGTTGAATGTATACAAATTACAACAATGGTTACAAGGTTATTCATGGGGTAGGTTCACGTTCTTACTTATAAGAAGTTACGTCTTTGTGAATACAATTTACAATGGTTGAGATGTTGCAAGTCTAATTAATAAACGTATGGCATTCAACTTGGTGCAAGCAATTTGGCTATGGTGCTGAACAAATGTTATGGCTTGCTCTTATTGAAATCCTGTACTAATCAGGGTTGTAAGAGGTTGACTTCATTTATTCCTGTGGAATTACGAATCCAAACCAAGATTTACGAGCTTTAGGTCAATCACATGGCTTAACTTTTAAGTACTTGGGGACTGTAAATCAGTCACATTGTCTGGTTCTGCTATAAAACGGTCTTTCTGGGGTTTGATCCGGTGTCTGCTTTATTCATGGAACGTAGTGAACCATTGTGCTGATTAGCTTTTTGTTAAATGGTGAATGCCTTGTTGTGGAGAAACCCTGGTATGGTCTTTGTTTTTGATAGACGATATATTCTTGTTAGAAATTTTGTGTTTTAGGGTGCTGCTTTCTGATCAAAAGCTTCTTATTACAGCAGTCCAATTAATGACATTAAAAACATGCTTTATGCTATCTGGATGGTCTGGATCTAGGGACCATGATTAGGTATATATTTCAGTATATGGATGGAGTCAAAGGTTAGACATGGCCAAATTCATCATGCTCATCTATTATGTTATAACTTGTGTCCGAGCTTCAAGATTTTTTTTGGCTCTGAGAACTTTGGTTGGGAAAGTCCATGTGACATAGAGATGTCTGACTATAGCCTTTGCTCACTGTTTATTGACTTATGTCTAATAATTCAGTGCTATTCTCTAGCCTCCATTCATTTGTATGATTGTGTCTTAGGCACTTGTTTTTTTAAGTGTGATTTACAGAATTTTGGGTTTATTATTTCACCTGTGATTTTTTGTCTTTCCTACTATCTTCACTTTTTTTTTCCTTCTGACTGGAGTGTAACATTTCTGTAGGGCAGCAGAGAAAGTTAAACCCAAGCAAGTTGATGGACAAGTTCATCCAAAGGACACTCCTAAAGACAATTAATACTACAAAGCTGCCTGTTAGAAGAATGCAGATCTACAGAGGTTTTTTCTGGTAGTTGACCTGTACAGGCTATCACAGTTCCAGTTAATGTATGCTCGTATATACCTGTATCTGCATTGTTTCTTATAGCACGCTGAGAATTTTGATATTAAAACGTGCTACAAGTTTGAGAAACTTAAATACCTGCTGCTTATTCCAGATTTCCAGTACTGTTAGGTTGGTGCTCATCTGAAGAGTGAAAAACTTTAGTTGGCCATTGTTTTGGTAATAAGAGCCTAGAAATGTGCAAGTTGGATTGTGTTCTTTTTTCTTAATGAAGATTGAAGAATTAACCAATGCTCATTTTATTGATTATGCATTTTGACAAGGGATGACAGTCCAGGTTATGTAGCTCCCATTCTACTTTATTCTCGAACTATCTAGTCTAGATTTTAGATTTATACCTCGTCGATTTTGTGCTTCACATGTCAGCTGTACATTCTATACTGATTGTAATCTTGATGTGTAATCAAATACATAATTCAGGGACTGTCCTGTTGTTGCTATGAGCCTATGACTAGGTTAAAGTAGCTGGTTCACTTTGGCCTTTGCCCTACTCTTCTGCCTCTACAATTATTTAGGCTGATGTTAATGGTGATTTTCTATACAGCCATTATTTCAATTACCCATTTGAACCCATTATTTCAAATTGCGCTGCTCTGTTGATATACTCGTTCCATTCTATGGGCAACCAATAACTCCCAACATACCAAGGCTTGGTCTAGTTAGGTTTGAATCTTACAATTATAAGGTTGTGAGATCAAACTCCGTTGGAAGGACTCGGCCAAGTTGACGTATGAGATCTCCTAAGGGCCTAGCCCACTAACTCGGGCCAAGTTAACATGTGAAAATTCCCAAGCCCATTCACTCTGGCCAAGTTGACATAAGAGGTTCTGTCTCGGTGGGGTTTTTCTCCTTTGTCTCCTTAAGTGTGTATTGTCTGATTCAATTTAAAATCGGTTTTGTAATTTTCAACATAAAAAATAATATTGTTAGTAGCATTTCAAGAATATCATGTTGAAAAAAAAGGTACTAGTATGTTGAGATCATGTTGAAAAATCAAAATCAAGAATCAAAGATTGAAATGGTATCATCTAGACCATTCGCAATTCAGTCCCGACCGGATAGTACACACCTTTACGGCTCTAATGCCTAATGGCTCAACTCATGGGTCATGAGTCGTAAGACTCACAAGTCATAACTCACAAGTCATGAGCCATAATTGAACTGCCCCGCGAACAAGCACTCGTTAACAAGTTTCTTCTTTATCCATTTCAATCCGTTACTCTCCCTTCATAGTGAAACTGTGGAAATCTACCCAGGAAAACAGCTCTAACTACAATTCTATGGCGGTTTAGCAAGAATCAAACTTTTAAATTCCCAGTATTTTCTTCAATTTTGACCGTTGTTCATCACCCCCTCTTACTTTACTTTCTGGTATTTTTTTTCTTCTTCTGAATTTATAAATATATTAAAAAAAAAAAAAAAAAAAAAACCAAGCAGGTAAAGCCCCGAAATTTTGGTAAGAATTGATAATTGAAGCAACACCCATAAAAAATAATGTGGGTTGCAGCAACCCCATTGAATTACTCAAGCTTCTTTATAATAAAACGCTGCAATTATTCTTCATTTCGTGTTCAATGTTCTGATAATCCTCGTGGATTCGGCTCTGAAGATGATACTAAAAATGTAAACATTAATTTTCTTTTCTTTATTATTGCTTATGATGGTTACTTAATTTGTATATTTTTTTTCTATATGTTTTTTTTATTGGCTAAGTTGGGTGTTTGATCTTTTCAGACCAAAAAATGGAGCAGTTCAAAGCAGCAAAAGGGCATTCTTCCACAGCAAAGGTCCTTTTTTCAACCTCTAATTTGGGTTTTGTTTGTACTTATGTCATGGTTTTTAGTTTTATCTATTGTGAAATTTTTAATTTCTAATTGTATTTATAAAATTATAACATGAAGTATATTATTGTAGTCTTGAATTGGTTGAAATTTGGTCAAATGCATAATTAATTATGTGCAACTATTTTTTTTTAATCACTTAACTAGAATTATTTAAGAATGCTAATATACTAGATACTACAATATCAAAGCAGGAATTTTTGAGCTTTTAGATGGTTGGTAGAATGTAAAGTGTTGGCAAGGTGCCGTAGCCGAGCTGAGATCCATTAGCCTTCTCTACTCTGAAGATAAGATGAAAAGTTGTTTTGAACATAATGCTAGATTTATTT